CCTGTCCTTGTAAAGTATGCTTACTAAATGGCTGGGTTTTTCTTTTTCTTTTTAACCAGTGTAAGCATTTTATAGCACCTGGTTCTTTGAAAAGCAGAACCCATGCCATACCTACAAGTTGGCATACAGCCAAGAAAGTCCTTTTGTGTGCGTGTGTATTTGTGGTGAATCATTCATAGCCTGTAAGATCTATCAAAATAGCTTTGTTTGAAAACCTAGTTTTCCTCATATTTTTTTCTGATGACTCACACTTCAGTGCTTTCATGTCTAGATTCTCTTTTCTTTCTTGTTTCTCATCATGTTCATTCAGAAGATGTTCTTTCACTAGTTCCAAAATTTGTATTTCTATATTCTGTCAGTTTTCATCTTGAAACATACACACAGCAATATGCTCTGAATCATAAAATTCTGCATTAAATCCCAACACTTTAAAAAAACACATATTCTCAATATAGGTTTACCTGCTCCTCTGTTGCCATTTTTATTTAGTACAAATTTATTAACATTTAAAAATCATTGGCACTTATGAAACTTGAAACTTTATTTTGCTGTTAGGAAGATTTTGGCTGCAAGAAATATAAAAACCAATGCTAAGTGGTTTAAATAAGAACACTTAACATCTCATGGATGAAGATGAAAATATGGTGGTTCACGATTAGTTGAATTAGTAGTTCAATAATGGCCTCAAAGACTCAGGATCTTCCTATCTTTCTCTTTTGCCATTCTTTTAAATCGATTTTATTGAGGCATAATTTATATACAATTCAATTTTAAGTGTACAATTAGAGGGATTTTGACAAATGTATAATAATGTATCTACTACCACAGCAAAGAAATTTAACATTTGCAATGTTTCAGCTCTTTGCAGTCAATCCCAGCTCTTCAATTTCGAATAAAGGATTATATTGTATATACTCCTTTGTGTCTTCTTTCTTTTACATAGCATTGTGTTTTTGATATTCATCCAGCTTGTTGACTACTGGTGCTTTGCTCCTTTTTATTGCTGAGTGATGGTTCATTGTATATTTGCTTATTCATTCACCAGTTGATGGAAATTTATTTCCAGTTTTTGGCTATTATATATGAAGCTGCTCTAATTCTTTGTGTGGATACAGGTTTGGATTTATCTTGGGTAAATATGCAAATGTTGGGTTGTATTTTAATTGTATGTTTGACACTATAAGAACCTGCCAAACTGTTTTCCAGAGTGGCTGTACCATCAACAGCAATATAAGAGAGTTCCAAGTTGTTCCAAATCCTTGGTAACTTAATAGTACATTTTGAAAACAAAAGTTTTTCATTTTGATGAAGTTAAATTGTCAATTTCTTCTTTTAGATTTCCAGCTTTTAAATTTTTTATACTTTATAACTACACACAGTTAAAGAGTATAGATTTTCTGCTAGGTTTTCTCTAAAAGGTTTTAGATTTACATCTTGTATTTAGATTTAGCTGTATGATCAGTTTCAAGTTAATTTTTACATGGGGTATGAATTAAGGGTTTTTTTTCTTTCTTCTTTTTTTTTGTTTTTGTATATATGGATGTCTAGCTGTTCTAACATTTGTTGAATATTCTGCCATTCCTGGGGCTTTAGATTAGTACTTTTCCCCACCTTCATGGTCACACGATGACTGCAGCCATTTTAACCATCATATCAGAGACTATCTCTTCCAAGAATGTGTCCAGGAAACTTCTTTTCACCTCTTGTTATCTAGACTCAACACATATTTATTTTATACTGTCTAAACCAATCATGGGAATTGGAATGGGGCCCGCATGATTCATTTATTCATTCAAGAAGGAAATGGTTGTCTATATCCTTTCTAGGGGTTCGGGATACAGTGGTAACGAAAACAGGCAAAAATGTTGCCTGACCTCATGAAACATACAATTTACTGAAAAAGATTGTCTTTTGTCAAAATAAATAATAAACTGTATAATATCTGGCTGTACAGCAGTAGGTACTAGGGGAAAATACAGAGAAAGAGGCTATGAGATATTGTGGGTGGCTTGAAATTTCAGATAGGATGTTTACGAAAGGTCTCACTGAAATGACTTTTAAATAAAGACCTGAAGGAAGTGATGGAGTAGGCCATATAGATACCAGCTTGAAGAGTGGTCCAAGTGGCAGGAAATGTGCAACGTTCCTGAGAACAGCAGGCCACTGCGGTTGAAGAGAGTAATAGGAGATTGGGGAGTGGGAGTGCATAACAGGTAGATCACTGTTGTTTCCAACGAGGGGCAATTTTGCCAAATTTGGTAATGTTGGGGGACATTTTGGTTGTTATAACTTGTGTGGGAGGGAGTGCTGAGGAGACCAGGGAGACTGCTAAATACCCTACAATGCACAGGACAGCTTACCTCTCAATCATCCTCCTCCTTCTATACCCCCAACAAAGAATTATCCAGGCTGACTGTCAATAGTGCCCAGGTTGAGAAATGCTGTTTAAAGTCATAGTGAAGACTGGCTAACAGTGAGTAAATTGGAATGACACTGAATTGTTTTAAGTTCAGGAATTATTTAAGCTTTAAGGATCATGTGGCTGTTTGTTGTGAACAGACTAAAGGGGTAAGAGGGTATAAAATATTTAGCAGGGTAATACAATTACCAAGAGAAAAAATATGGTTTGGGCCAGAATGCAGGTAAGGGTGCTAAGTGATAGATGTTGAATGTATTTTGAAGGTTGAGCCAACAGGATTTACTAATACACTGGATACATGCCTGTAGGCAGAGGAACCACCTACAAGTAATCTGCTGTGGCTGTTGCTGGAGTTGTGTCTTCCCAAAAGGGACCCGGGGAAGTGGTGGAAAGCTGAACAAATTTGGAAAGGAGGAAAGAGTACCCAATATGGATATTAGGATCAGTAACCAATTGCATCTGTTACATATATATCTTACGAAAATAAGAAAGCACACTGTTGGACCAGTGAATGACTAAGGGCACAATTATTCTATGGACTAAGTTTCTTTAAAAATACTTTTTAGTTTTTAGAAACGCCTTCTCATGCCATCTTTCATTTTGGTGACCGTCTGAAAGATTCCTTATTCTATCAAATTCATTAAAGGGCTCCAATTTTCCTTTCAGTATTTGCATCCCAACCAATTATTGGTGGTTCCTATGCAGAAGGCTGAAGTATTAATAATCTTTTTCTAAGCATTTGTTTGGTTTAGTCTAAAATATAAGCTATGAGTCTTTTTTTTTTTTTTTTTT